AGAGGCTGGCAAAATGCTAATTATTCCTTGCCTCTCTTTAGATTTCCCACTTTGATGACTGGTCTGGTGCCATAGGGATAGAAAGCTGTATCTCAAACTTGGATTTACAAGACAAGGAAATAGAGAAAAGACTTGTGCCAACTATTACTACTCAAAGTTTAATCACAATCTGAATGAAAGCTTCCTTTAAACACAATACCTCATTCACTTCTTAAAATCCAGTTAGGAACTTCTCCCATCCCAACCTTTTTACCTTAAGAAGCCAATTCTCAATTCTCAATAGCCCAAATGCCCTTGTTATGCAAAGTTAATGGCTCTAAATATTTAAGAGGCAGATTATCTGAACCACAGGACACGGAAAAGTCACTCAACTGACTCTCCCATATACAAAAGCGATGAATTGACTACCTTTTACCTTCTTTCAAAAGGGTTTTTTTTTTTAACCTCAGGGTCCCATATCAAATATTCAAGCATTTCCATAGCCTCATTCAAAACTAAACAATTACACTTGAATCCTTTTTTCCAAATATAGCTAGAACTTTATTGGAGTTCAACATAGTTTCATATGGGAAGGATGAAATCCCTCACAAAAACATACTTCTGGGGAAAGAACTCTGCATCTGATAAAAATCAGGTTTTATTTTGTACTAAAAATGTGGCTAAAGTTGTTAAAGATCCATAACATACATATGCATTAATACCCAATTAATACAACACGCACAAATTCAGTATAATCTGAAGCCTCCTAAAATGAAATATATCCATGAAGTACAATAGAATCATTTCGCATACGCTTAGCAGAGGATAACTGTTATAATTGATATATGACACCAAGCTTTCTAAAACATAGATATTTTTGCACCCCCCCCCCCCCCCCCCCACATATGCTGAAAACAAAGAAAAACCCCCAATGGCCTAATTTTGGAATAAAAGAGTTAAAACATGTGAAGAATCCCTGGCTCTTTCTTGTACATGGTATAAATGGATACCAATTCACTAGAACCCAGAACAAATTAATGAATCACTCCTTCAAACTCTCACAATTCCTCATTTTCATGCTGATGTTAAAAAAAGTCAGATAATTCTTTTTTTACTACAATTGGTAAGTGAGATTTGGGGACTAACTCTGGGTTTGTATTTTCCATTTTACCTACTTTGGTAGAAAAGTAGGAGCTGGTGTCATCAATATTACCAAGTTTCACCTTTCAAACTATGAGGTGTTTCTGATTCCTTTAATAACTCCTGGATTTTCTTGTTTTACCAGCAACATCGGAATCTGAAATTTGTTTGGAAGTTCTGATATGCTAGTAATCTAAAAAACACATGTTGACAAGCAACTTTGTTTCAAGTCTAAATAGTATTAAGATGCTACAGTAGTCACTAATCCTGAAAAGATGCCCCAAGGAGTCTAGCTGTAGAAAGAAAAACACTGGAGCCTGATACTTAAGTGCTTCTGGATTGAGCAAGAAGATGTGCCAGATGTCATTTGAAGGCGCCATCAGTTTGCAGTTTTAAAAATGTGATGGTAACTTTCAGATAGCCACATCATCAGTCTTCCCACCCCCCACCTCAACCTGCAACTAACAGCATAGAAATACATCTGTCTGCATCAGAAACAATTTATATTTAATTCTTCCATACAATCCGAATCTATTAAGCTAAACCAGAATCAACACAAGATGATGTCAAATTATCATCCCATATAACATTGCTTAGAATAGTCAGTCACTGATGGAATCAAGCATTATACTTTGCTCATCCCAAGGAGGGAAGAACCCCACAAATGCAAAGTGGATGGGCAAAAACTTGAAACAGCAGAAGGATCACTAACCCCCAACATGATGTTACCATTTTCAACTCTGCAGATAACCTGGCAGTTACTGTAATAATGACTCAGACCCACCACAGTTAGTGCTACCAACACCTAGGAAAAAGGTAGTCAAAAGATTATGGTTTCTACTACCGAAACTCCAAGCTCACCATCAATATTTTAAATATAAAAGCATTTCACAAATAACAGATTTTCCCAGCAGTTAAGCATGGGCCAGAATGTTGTGAATTTCAAATGAACAGCAACAGTTTTAACTATTGTAAAGAATGAACTCCAAAGGGCATAAAACCTTTCAGATCTTAAGGGACGAGGGCAGGCAGAATGAGGGATGTTAGTATATATGAACTTCCACAGTTATCTGTAAGTTCAGCTAAGTCCACTTACAATCATGCTACAGCAAACTCTTCTTAATACAAAGATCAATAATGACATGTCTGTGTACAATTAAACACTGATTTTTATTTTTTAAAAACAGTCTTTCACGGTTACATAAATCAATCACTTGTTACCAGGCTATTACTTAATAGTGCAAGCACACAGTTACTAACACTACACCTTTCTTCTGAACAATATTTACAAAGATAATTAGTCCAGTGTCAGACACTTACGGTGGTAGGGAGGCAGTTAAAATGCTTTTTCTCTTGAAGGAGTAGGTTAGTTAAAAAGTAAGCAAATGACAAACTAGCAAATCCTTCCCTCCCACATTTTTCAGCTCTGTAAGAAAATAGAGATGTTCAGCTTTTAATTTTGTCATACTACAATCACATATATAGCATACTGGCTACACCTGGGAGCTTTGGAGTGCCCCACTCCCTGCCCTTGGGAAAGCTAGTAAACATACTAAGCCTCAGTTTCCCCATCCATAAAACAGAGATAATAGTATTTAACTCATAAGGTCCTTCCAAGGACTAAATTGAATTAGATAATCCATGCAAAGAGCTGAGATTCGTGCCAGGCAGACAGTAAGTATTCAACAAATATTAACAATTACTGCAATTACAAGTGATCACATTCTAGAAGTCAATATAGTCGGTTTCAATCTCTATAAAAACAGCATTAAAGATCAACAACCCACCCAGCCCACAATCATTCACATACTCAATAGTTCCTTTGTATAATTTAAGTGAGCAACATGGAGAATAACACTGATGAGAAAGGACTAAACTTTCTTTCACTACTAAATACATGACCTACTCAGCCTGGTCTTAAAGTCAAAAGAACACTTTTTCTGTGTTTTGCTCCTACCTTCCCCGAAGAGGTCAAAAGGACTCTTTACAAATCCTCACCTGCCATGTCCTTTCTTTGCTCCCACATCCCTAAGAAACATCTACACTCTTTTCGGTTTTCTGAACTGCAGGGGCCTCATCTCCCTTTTAAAACCCTGACAGGCTAGCTCAACATAGTTAAGAAATACTCCAACCCCTGACACTCAGCACCTAGTCTTGCACAACACTCAGAAGTCACCTCCTCTGAGAAATTTCCCCACCCCCAGACAAAATTAAGTCCCCTAGTTTCTCAAAGCATTTTGGGTATACATATGCCTTAGCACCCACCTTATAATTAACTAATTATGTCTCTCTCGATAGACTGAATTGAGGGCAAGAGAAGCGTTGTGGCCAAAGGTTCAGCTCTAGCACTATGCGCAGTGTTTGGCACATATCAGGTGCTCAAGAAATGCAACATGTGAATTTAACCAGAATCTTTCCTTTCAGAGTCCCATCTCTTGCTAGATGCCCCATTACAAAACCTGAACATAAGGCTGCTCTCAGTATACCAGGCTAACACGATGGACTGCTGATTACAACATCAGAAAACATACTCATCAGCTTCTCCCATTGGAGAGGTTCCCAGAACCCAAACTCAATTGAGCAGGATTATGTACCATCAGAATCAGTGGGACTTCCCAGCACACTACAGAGGGTACTTTTCTCCTTCAATAAGATTGTTGAAAAGCCCTCAGGGTGAGCTTTTTATTGGGGGAAACTCTTCATTAAGTGAAGTGGAAATACTCAAAGATAAATAAATGCCTCGATTTGGCTGAAAAGGGGTCAAAATCATAAAGTTCTGGGAAAAGCAAGCTAGCTCTTGATTCCTGAAAAACAGAGACCTCCAAAAAAGAACAGGAAGCCGGGGTGGGTGCTGGTCACTCTTTGTTTCAATAAATAAAATCTCTTTTTCTTCCCTACAGCCCAAAAGAAAAGGCCAATACACCAAGTCCAGATGAGATGCTCAACAATCTTTCCTCCTGACAAGTACACTAAACTGAGGTTCTTTAAAAAATAAAAAAGGAAGAAAGAAAAAAGGGGGGAAAAGTGCTGCCTTAGGAACCTCGGCCACAATGAAAAGTTCTAGTAATACTTTAATTAAAAAAAAAAAAATCTATCTCCCTGGGTCCAACATTTACATTGGACGGCCCACACACTTGCAAACTTTCTGAAGGGAGGGACTACTACCTTCGCAAAGAACACAACTTGGGAAAAACAATCTCAAAATATGAAGAACTCCACAAAGGGCAGCTTTAGTTTTAGAACCATAATTCCCATCACAAACAACTTACACCATCACCACCCCCAACCACCACCAAATTCAACAGTTGCCGGAGGATATCTTTCATTCTGGAAACAGAAAAGGAAACAAACAAGCAGCAGAAAGGGAATAACCCCCAAAATAAAGTTCTCTTTGGAAAAAAATTGTAACAATTCAGTCTCCCACCCTTCCCTCTCTGGTGAAGTCTATGATTTATACGGCTTTGCTCTGCAGAAAGCTCTTTCTGGGCAGCTCAAGGAAAGAGCCGAGGGAGGGAGAGAAAGAGACACAGGCACAGAAAGGAGAGGAGAGAGAAAAAGAAAATGGCGCAGAGACTAAGTCCCGACTGTCGACAAGGCGACTTTCCCGGGAGGAATCCGGGCCGGGAAAGGCTGCCCGAAGCCCGGCGGCGGGCGACGCCGGGTCTCCGTTGCCCCCTCTTGGGAGGGCCGTGATCTGGGGGTGCTGGGGTCCCCGGAAAGGGGGTCCAGAGGCGGCCCGATGGGAACAATGGGGCCGGTGAGCGAGGAGCCGGGACTTAGTCTCTGGGACGCCATGTCTGTCCTCTGCCCGGCTCCAGCGGGGCGCGGGGTAGGCGGCCGGCGGCGGGAGGACCTGGGGTCGGGGCGGGGGGCACACTCACCATTCAATCGGAAATCCGCTTCAATCTGGAGAAAGAAAAGGGGGAAGATGAACAAAACAGGCACCTTTAACCCCGCGGGCGGCGAGCGCGCGGAGCCGGGGGCCTAGCCCACCCTGCGCCCCAGGGAGGAAGGGACCCCCGGGAACGGCCTTTAAGGGGCAGCCATTCCCACCCCCGCCACCCCAATATGTAACTTGGCGGCTTTCGTCCTAGGCCTAGCGAGCCCACCTCCGCCGGCCGGCCGCCCCTGGCCTGGGGCTCCGGCCTGTCAAAGCGGCCGGGCCGGGGCCTGCGCTGGGGGTCGCGGAGAGCCGGGGTGGGGCCGGGGCGCCGAGAGGACCGTGCCGAACTGTACCTGGGAATCGTTGTGGAGATGGTCCCCGCTCATGTCGGCCGGAGCGGTGAGAGCGGCGGGCGGCGAGTGGCGCCGAGGAGACGCAGACGGTCGAGACCGGCCTATGCGGGCGGACGGGAGCTCCCGGAGGCTCCCGAAGGCGCGGGTAAGCGGCGGCGGCTGCGGGCCTGAGACTCCCGGAACCGCTAAGGCGGCGACAGCGGCGGCGACGCTGACTGACTGCCGGGCGGGCGGCGAGAGCGGACCCCAGCAGTTGTGTAACAGCCTAAGTTCGCATTTCGGCTCACTGCGCCTGCGCGGCCGCTTTTAAACGAGACGTCGCGACGTCAGCGACTCGCGGAAGGAGGCCGAGGGTTGCGGGCCCGCCCCCTCGCGCTTCCAAAGGCGGACCAGGCTTTGCATCGCAAGCCCCGCCTCCTGGCCCTTGCGCGCCGCTGTGATTTGCATAAGGAGTCGACTCCTCCCAGGGCCGCCCACCCTAAGCAACCTTCCTTTCGTTTCCCCGCGCCTTTTCTCGGAACGCCGTACTCCTCTGCGAAGCAGTGCGCAGGCGCATCCCAGACGCCGCCCCCGGACCGTGGCCGGCAGCGCGGCCACGTGGTGGGCCTTTAAAGGCCGCGGCGGGACCGCGCCAGTCCCCGGCCGAGCTGCTGTCCTCGTGCTCCTTTTCGTAGCAGCGAATATCTTGGTGGCCTGGGCTCTCGCCCTTCCACCAACTCTTCTTTGCTCGCTAGCCGGGCGCCGAGGCAGCCAGGAGACAGGAGCTCCCGCCCTAGCCTTTGTCCATGCCTTTCAACCTTCTGAATTATTTCACACTATTATTAATTTTAATTTTTTAACAAACCAAAGGTCTGGTGCAGCTCCAGTTTCCAAACGAGTGCATGTAGTCCTGGGTCACAAGGGCCCTAATTTATTTCGTTAATTCAACAGACATTTATTGAGCGTCTACTGTGAGTCAGGAATTGTGCTGAAAAGGGGTGGTGGTGCAGGGGGCCAAAGGGAATGGGACCTCAGGGTAAACCCGACCTGGCTCTGTCCATCGTTGCATCCCTAGCACACTATAGGGCAGAAGTGAGATGCACAGGATAAAGAACTGCCATTTAGGGACCACCTACTATGTTCTCTGCTCTGAATCCAACACGACAGCTCTGTGGGGCTATTTTATCAAACTGTGTCAGAGATAAGTGACCTACAACCTTCTACCTGACATCTACATTTGGATAACCTCACAAGCTTCTCCAGGGCCGAACTCAACATCTTCCTCCACCCAGCTAGAAAAGCTCCATCCTGGACAACTTCCTCCTTCCTTTCTCATTAGTCCAACCGGTTGCTTCTCTTCAACCCATCTACCTCTTCTGCCCACACATCTGTCGAAGTCTGCACTATCTCTTGCTTGCATTATCACAATACACTCCTAACAAGGGTCTCAGCCTCCATTCTGGCCCTCTCACAAGCTGATAGCCAACAGGAGCCAAAGTGAACTTTTCAACACGCGGGTCTACCTTACCCGTTTCCCACAATACTTCCCATCACTCTTGGCATAAAGCTCAAATTTCCTAAAGTAGCTCCCAGGGTGCCACATAGCCTGCTTAATTCAAGTGTGACCTCTGTGAATTTTGCCATATCTACTTACCACTTCCACTATTTTACTTACTATTTTAATCGATCCCCTTCTTTACTTAGCTTCCTCCTAAATAATAATATCTATGAAATAATAATGTCTATGAAGTCATTTACAAATAAATACAAAAAGTGTCCATCCATGGACCACTGAAATATCTCTATCACATCTAGTGGTAAACACTTTGGGATTAATTCTTGTGAATGCTCCAAAGCTCAACATTAATATCACTTTTTCAAAGTGATCCCCTTTCCCCACATTCTCTCACTCCCTCTTTCCTCACTGGGATCAAGTGCCCTTCATAGAGTGTCTTTTCCTTTGTAACACTTATCACAATTGTTATTAAGTTGCTAAGGGGGGCAATAAGTGATTTTATGTCTGTCTCCCCTATTGAACCCAAGGTCTGTCTTTGTTGAAACTTGATCCCCAGCACCTAGCAACAGATCCTACCAAAGAGGCATACAATAAATGAATGAAAGCAGGGTAATACAGTGGTTAGGAGTGCACACATGGAAGTCAAACCAATCTAGGTGTGAGTTCTGCTCTGCTGTTAATTAGCTGTGTAACCTCAGACAAGTTGCTTAAGTTCTCTGAGCCCTAGTTTCCTCATCTGGACAATGACGATAATGGTAGAATTTTATTAGACTATAAAAAAAAAAAGTTTCTTGAGAACAGACAGCTAGTAAGTACTGAATTTTGGATTTAAACTCCGATAGGCCTGACTCCAAAGCTATGCTCTTTCTCTCAGGCAAACTGCCAGAACGAGTTTTGCCTTGCTAATGGTGTCTTTCAATAGACTTCCCATCTCAGAATCAATCCTAGACCACCAAGTGAGACATTTCAATACTATCTGTTTGCTGCAGGTAGGCCAAGATAATTCAAAGACCGCCTTAAGGAATAACAGAGTCTCTTACTACTACTCTACTGCCAACCCCCAAAGCCAAAGGAGAATCTGCATTTGATTGCCAGGTCCCTCCAAAGAAGATCTGGGTAGGCATAAAAACAGATCACAGACTCCAAAATTGCACAGTAAGCATGGTCCCAGGCACAAACCTGCAGGTGTGCAGGCATTTTGTCACATAGCCACCCTGACTCTTGACACCTTAAATCAGTGTCTCTGCAATGTGGTCCATCCACCCCTAGTACTTGAGAAGATTATAGATAATGCATGGACAAACACTTTTACTGTAATTGTTAAGGATGTATTTCCATATGTATGGGGGGAAAATATTTAACCACCACATCAAATCCATGATTTTAAGGATATAACTGTTTTGGATCAGGCTTTTAAAAAGTTGGTTGATTGGGGAGCCTGGGTGGCTCAGTCAGTTGGGCATCTGACCTTGGCTCAGGTCATGATCTTGCAGTTCAGGAGTTTGAACCCCGCGTTGGGCTCTGTGCTGACAGGTTAGGGCCTGGAGCCTGTTCCAGTTTCTGTGTCTCCCTTTCTGCCCTCCCCGACTCATGCTCTGTCTCTCAAAAATAAATAAACATGCAAAAAAAAAAATTGTACCTCTAAAAAGTTGGTCAGTTGATTTAGATAAAAATATCAAATAAGGGGCACCTGGGTGGCTCAGTTGGTTAAGTGTCTGACTCTTGATTTTGGCTCAGGTCATGATCTCATGGATCATGTGATCAAGCCCCGCAACAGTCTCTGCATTGACAACACAGAGCCTGCTTGGGATTCTCTTTCCCTCTGTCTTTGACCCTCCCCCACTCACATGTGTTTGCGTTCTCTCTCTCTCTCTCTCTGTCTCTCAAAAATAAATAAACTTTAGGGGCGCCTGGGTGGTGCAGTCGGTTAAGTGTCCGACTTCAGCCAGGTCACGATCTCACGGTCCGGGAGTTCGAGCCCTGCGTCGGGCTCTGGGCTGATGGCTCAGAGCCTGGAGCCTGTTTCCGATTCTGTGTCTCCCTCTCTCTCTCTGCCCCTCCCCCGTTCATGCTCTGTCTCTCTCTGTCCCAAAAATAAATAAACGTTGAAAAAAAAAAATTTTTTTTTAAATAAAAATAAATAAATAAACTTTAAAAATACATATATCAAATAATAACAAGAGGGAACATATAAGACAAACTCCAGTGAGGTCATAGGCAAATAAATGTGGCTTGGGAAACACTGCTTTAAATCAAGGCCCATGGACCATCCCAATCCCTATAAAAATAACTAGCAGATGACAGCTGATGTTATGGGCCTGTTTCCAAAGTATGCACTGTGAAAGGTGGATGATTTATAGATATCCCAGTAAAAGAAGGGCTGCATACACGTTGTTATGATTTAAAGTGAAACAGGTCTTTTCTCACAGGACTTCTCAGATTTATCAATATTCTAATACATACGCAAATCTTAAATAGAGGGAAATGAAATGCAGTATCTCCAAAATGTATGTAAGCCCAGAAACCTTTTTTTCCACACTGCCTTTTGAGACTGGGCTCCTTGGAATGATCAGACCTTAGGCCACCTGATCTAGGTTGTCACCCAAGATCCAGCCTGTACTTATTTGCTTCTCAGTCTCTTGGGATTCTTCTTATCACCTTGGCCCAACTCTTGGCTTCCAGAACTGAACACCTATGAGGTTGTCTTGAACAACCTCTACTTTTCAGGGGCCTGTTCTTCTGCACAATGTACACATGTATACAACAAATATGCTGCTGTCCTTCTGGCTGCGGTTGTTTGACCCAGGCTGACTCAAGATGAGTCACTCAGATCGACTTCCTTGAGACTTTGGAACTGGGAAGGAGAGAGTGGTCTCTCTTCTTGTGGATGGATCTACAGGATGTACACTGGGGAGTTGCCCTGGTGGTATTTTCTGTCAAGAGGGCCCAAAAAAGCTGGGAAAGGGGGAGAGAAGGAGGAGGGGAAGAGAAGACCCTGAATTCCATCAGCCCTTATTTCACTCCTGTTCCTGTACCTTTGAATAAATTCCCCCCTTTTGTTCAATTGAGCTCCAATGGGTCACTTAAGACCAAGAGTTCTGAATAGTCCTCAGTCCTAATCTACGTTTGACTCCTGGGCACTCTCAAACCCTCTGTCACCCTTTGGACCTGGTCTGGACCCCTCGTGTTATGGCACCTGGATACACCTGCCAGCATTTTGACCATGGATGCTGACACAGTCTCGACTCTGCCAATTCTTGGGCAGCGGTATCTTCTGGAAGTCCCCCCTGCCTGTGGCACCTTGTCTAAGGACCCGCTGCCCTGTTGAGATTTGGACACCCTCAGAAAAGAGTCTACTTGACACACAGGAAGGAGACTCAGACTAGCAACCCAGTAACAACCAGAAACACCCTTTTGCCTACTGGTAACAAACATCTCAGCAAAGGTTGAAATTTGTGGAATAAAAAGAAAAGAACTAACAGGAATACTGGCAACTCTTGAGTCATGGAAGGATAGGATAGCGACAAGGATGGAGGAGCCT